AAATTTAGTTTATGTGGTAGATGATTTATATATTTTTTCTCCCCTCCCCTCCCCCCTTCTTCCTTTTATATTCATTTAAGAACCGTAAAAGTCATGGAGAAGCGAAATGCCTGTGGTGGATGCTTTATAAAGGAAAAGGAATCATGTAGAATAAACCACAGAAATAGAAGTTGTATATTCCTTATACACGAATATAATTTTTCATAACATGTTCCTGGGCGAGCCGAAAAGAAAATGCGGTTATATCTGTTTCAAACGTGCTTCATTTCGAGTATTATATACGTTCATATATATAAACAGTAATAACTGCTCCACTTTTAACTAATTTCATATTCAAGACTCTTCATTTTGTGAAAAAAAATTTTTTTCGGGTAAATTACTTATTTATTTTTTTTTAGAATGATTTATCTCATTTATAAAACAATCCACTTATCTTGTAAAAGGATTCCTTTAATAGAAGCAAATTTTCATTTTGATATACTTGGAAATACTTTACCGACAATTTTTTTTGAAATATTTTTTGTGAATATTTTCCAAAATTGTTTGGATCGAATTTCTTGAGTTCGAATTTTTAACTAATCAAATTTTTGTAAAGTTCTCTCTAAATCTGAATTAGTTAAATTTTACCAATGAGTTAGTAAACAAAATTTTTGATTTTAAAAATTTTGTAAAAGCAGAGAAATGATATATTTTTCTCAGAGATAAATACATATTTTTTTTGTTGTAAATAAATATTTAACTGATGCAAATAAATTTTATTTGATTCGAATAAAAATTTCATTTATGACAAAATTTTTATTTACGACAAATATACGTTTATTTAACTCAAATACATTATATTTGGTTCAAATAAAACATTTTCTCTATGGATGTAAAATTTATTACAATTTTTTTTTGTTTATATTTATTTTTAAATAATTTTTATGTTCAAAAATTATTTTGTTTATATTTATTTCCAAATAATTTTTGTATTCAAAAATTTTTTTTATTTATATTTATTTCTAAATAATTTTTGTATTCAAAAATTGAAAATATGTTTATTTTACATTTTCATTTGATATAATATAGAAAGATTAACAAGAAAGTGCATTGAACTTCGTGAAAGAATCGGTATATTTACACATTTTCCTATATTATTTTAAAGTAAATCTTGTTTCAAGTTTGGCTTTTATATTGTTAGCTTAACAAGTGGAGATAAATTTTAAAGATATAATGAGAGTGTGAATGTTCCCAGTTAAGGAGAACCGGAACAAATAACTTGACAGAAAAAGAAAAGGAAACATATATATATCTAAAGAAGATTAGCATAAAATTTATAAAATATATTTCACATTATTAAATAACCCTGGCTTGACTAAGCAGGCTTATTATATAATATTTAAGACATTTTTTTTAAAAAGTAAATTTTTATATTTATATTTTAATATTAATAATAAAATTTTTCTTGTTCTTAGTTTCAAATGTTACTAATTCAAAAATAAAAATTTAATTAAAAAGGCAATTAAATTTTTCTTTAATTCAATAAACAAGCTTGAAACAAAAAAAATTTAAATACTTTTGTAAGTTAATTATTTTAAATAATGTTAATTATAAATTATTAAAAAAAAAATTTCTATTTCTATTATTCATAAAAGAAAATGTTTCATAAAATTATGAAATATTGAAACAATATTTAATAGTTTAAAAGGATGGTTTTTTTTAAATTTCATTTTCAACTGAATATTATTTAGAATAAATTCGATTATTGAAATAATAAAAATTTGAATAAAATGTGTAATTATAAAGACTCGGTAAAAAATTTTATTTGTTGATAATGAAGAGTTCTTGAATATTTTGAATGGAAGCTGCGTTACTTTTTTACCTACAGCGATAAATGATATATCAGAAACCAGTTGGTTAAAATATAAGCGCGAACTTTCTTTATTATAAGATAGATGGAGGACAAAATTGGTTTTTCAATCGTTAAACAATTTTAATTGGTTTTTAATTAAAATCACCATAATACCAATAGGATATAAAGCATTTAATAATTAACTGTCATTGGAATATATATTTATAATTTCAAAATGATTAACTGACTTCATAAAAAGATTATTGTAACAAGAGACTCTTTTATTTTTTTTACTGTCTTTTATAATTAACATCCGATTATTAAAATATATTCTATTCATTTTTTTCTTTTTTTTGAAAATATGGATTGTAAAGAAATTGATTTATTATTAAGTTGGGAAAAAAAAAAAAAATGATTAAGCATTATGAAAGATGCTGTAAATTATGATTTTCTTATAGACTGCACGGATTTATAGTTTAAATTATGAAATTCGCATTTTTATTATTATCATTATTATTATACTGCTTTTGCTGATAATTATTGATTCTTTTGAAATAATTTCAACCTAATCGTGCTTTACTGCACCCACAGAAATTAAATATATATTTGTCTCAGTGCTAAATACATATTTATTTTTTAATGAAAATTTAATTTAGCATAAATAAAATTTTTATTGTAATTAAAATTTTATTTTTGCTTAATTAAATTTTTTATTAGAAACAAATAAAAAGTTATAAGGCTCTGAGACAAATATATTTTTATTTTATTCAATTAAATTTTATTTGTTTCAAATAAATGCAAAATTTCTCTGTACGAAAAAAAAGAAAAAGTAATTTTTACTACTTTCATAGTAAAACGGCTACTGTCCGAAGTTTCTGCGCATCTCTGGCAACTTTTACTTCAAAAATAGTAAAATTTACTCCAGAAATAGTAAAAATTACTACGGAACAGTAAAATTTTCTACAAAAATAGTAAATTTTACTATTTTTGGAGTATAAGTTTCCAGAGATGCGCAGAAACTTTGGACAGTTCCCGTTTTATTATGAAAGTAGTAAATATTACTTTTTCTTTTTTTGGTGTGTATTTTTCATTCTTTTTTCTAAGTTTTGAAAATTAAACACTGAAGAAAATTTACTTGACTATTATTAAATAAATACTTATTTGTATTAAATAATTATTATTTGAATTGTATTTGTTTCAAATACAGAAATTATTGGTCCAAATATTTAATTCAAATCAAAATTATTCGATTCAAGATAAATATTTATTTGCTAACAGTGAAGTAATCCATTATTTGAATCCAAATAAATCTTTTTTCTCAGTACAGTAAAATAATTATAATTTAAATATTTAAGTGACATTTGAGTTTAATAATAAAATTGAAAGCAACAATCTCATTGCACGATTTTATAACGATAAAATAGCGAAAGTAATATAATTGACTGAATTATAAATGCATTACAATTTTTTTTTTTCAACCAATTTTTTATTTTTTTATTATTTAAAAGCATTTTATTCACTGCAAGTCTTCACGGGATGACCATCATTAACTGGCAATAAATGCCAGAGTAATGTAAAACAGAATAAAAAGTAGCTCGTCCTTGGGTGGAGGACGGCCCTTTTTCTTTTTATTTTATGAAGCTCGTGCTCACGCGCTCACACAAGAGTGAATATATAGGTATCGCGTTTCGCACCGGAAATAAAAATCTGTAAAAAGAAGGCTCTCTCGTCTCTGGTCCTGTCGATCGGTAATGAGGTTGTAATGGCTCGCTGTTGGCTTCGCTCAGCCAATAAACGTCTTCGTGCCACGCGTATTATTGAGTGATTACTGACGTTGAAAAGAAAAACCGTGAAGCAACCTAAAAGGTTTAGTTTCTACATAGAATATATATAGATAGTGTTCTACACATACATATATATATATATGTATAAACATATATCAAGTATGATAAAAGCGAGAGAAAGAGGGTCTTATGCGTTAGACACATTTGTAATAAAGGATGATGAACACCTTCTCGGACGGAAACAAGAAAGATAACGCGATTCTCCTTGGGGATGCTGGGCAAAAACGAGCCATGGAGCCGTTAACAGCTGCCGATCGACGATAATCGTATACCCTGCTGATTCATTCGGAATTAATCCAGAACCAAATCAATTATTATAACGAGACAATAAAGTTTCATGTCCATGAGGATTACCACTTCCTTTCAATTTTTCATCAAACATGATTGTTTTTCTTTTTCGTTAGTGAGAAAATATTCCCTTTAGAAAAAAGGAAACATTTTCTCAAAGAACGATTCTTATCGTATACAGGCTAATCTCTTATGAAAATTCTGATAAACTGATATCTGATTTTTTTTAACATCTTCAAAGAATATTCAAAATTTTTGTACCTTATTTTTAGATAACAATACTAGAGATTATGAAAACAAATCAAAATTGTGTATTTTCCATATTGTGAACACACTTTAAAGTCTTCTTTAATAACAAAATCCTCTCTTGACCCAAAATGATGTTAATTTTATTAGAAAAAAAAAAAAAAAACTGAAGAAAAGTCGCTCGCGGTTTGTTCACCTCGCGCGCTTACAATTAGTTGTTGTTATAGACGTAACACAACCTCCGAAGGTCTTCTGGAAGGCCCTTTCAAGAATGCGTGACTAGTCGAGTTTATAACCTGCTTTCAATTACCGATCGTTGTGCTTTTGTTCGCCACTGGGGCGTCTTGCGATGCTAAAAAGGGTTACAGGGGGCAACGCAACGTACAAAACGAAGGCGTGAACGCAATCTTATACTCTGTCGTGTACCTATAAGAGTGCGATTTATTAGACGACCATATATTGGAAAAAAAGAGAGAAAACGATCAACATCGTCGTTTCATGATGCAAAAATAAAAATAAAAAAATACTACACGATGCCAGTTAATGTCCAATTGACCGTTGGCGTCACAAAAAAAAAAAATTTATAATCGAAATTATATACATTGCTCCATATATTCTCTCAAAAAAAAACATTACGCTTTTTTTTTCCTTTTTTTTTCTTCATAGAAACGATTTACAAGATCAATTAATGTTTATAAACCAAAATTGGTTTTTGATTTTTTCCATACGAACACTAACAAATTGCAATAATTTATGAGGAATTTAATTTTAATGTGAGGACTTTTTTACAGGCACAATGATGACATCATTGGTGTTACTAGTGCCAATTGTGGTTTCCATGACAGTAGCAGAAATCTTGGACGATCGATTAATCAGTCGGAGTAAAGACACATTTACTGTTTCACCAGAAGTGGAATTAGATTCTAAAATTGATTCCAAGAGAACGTTGAGGAGACAAGTAAGGATAAATAATGAGACAAAAACTAGTCAATTTTCATTACCGATTGGCATTTTGGAAAATCTATCAACCACCACGCCTCGTATTTTAACGACCAGAGGATTCAAAACAGCTGTAAAAACGCTTCATAATAAATCCCAAACTGATGTCAGTGAATCACAAATAAAATCCGAAAACAATTTTAGTACTTTAGAAAAGGATGTGAAAAAATCACAAAGTAATGCAGAGAAGGATGTGGATAATTTACAAATTGGTAAATTGGGAAATACACAAAATGTTAAAAGTCCAGCACCAAGTATGACACGAAATTTACAAAGAAATGTTAAAAATACACAAAGGAATGTCAAAACTGTACAAAATGTCAAAAATACACAAAGGAATGTTAAAAATGTACAAAATGTCAAAAATAGACAAAGGAATGTCAAAAATGTGCAAAGCAATATTAAAACAACACCGAACACTATTAAAATCGTACAAAACAATATTCCAAGTGTTCAAAACATTGTCAAAACATCCAACAATGTTAAAATCATCACCCAAAGCAATGTTAAAAATGTTCCAAAAAATACAACCACAATTGAGAATTCACAAACTAATGTAAAACAATCCGATAACAATAAATCTGAAACAGTGAAAAAAATCATCTACCCTATTAGTCAAACAAATGAAAAATCAATATCGAATGTAAAATCATCAGTTTCAGAAAATATACCATCATCAGCAACAGAAGTAAAAAGCAATAAGCTGCCAGGAAAAAGAAATCGTAAAAATAAAGGATTCTTTTTTAGCTATCCATATGTGCCCCAAATTCGTCATCATTATCCAAATTATGATAGTTCAAATTTCGAGGACTGCAATTATGGACAAGAGGAACAACGAACCCCTGGCGGGAAGAAAAAATATCAGGACAGCAATATTTATTATATTAAACTACCGCCCACTCCTTACATGTTCGTTCCAGGTTTGGGGTATGTTTCACAGCCGCCAAGATATTCGCCGCCTCCTCCTCCACCTCCTCCACCGCCATCCATGACACATGTAAGGCCCTATAGGCCCGCGAGGCCCCCAACGATTTATCAACCGCACGTTAACCCTTTTATAAAAGTGCCGATAGACTTTATTAGCAATGGGAAACCAACATCGGTTTATCAATGGCAAGACACTGGAAAGCATCCATCGAGAACGGATAATCAAATTACAAATTTAGACAAGGGACCTTATGTTTTTAATGGACGACCAAGTAGTATTTATCTTCTTAGGCCCGATGGCTCACAAACTATTCCTCAACCAATTAGATTAAATGATTATCAGAATAATGGTTACTATTCAAGTGGTACTTTCGATTAGAGAACCAAAATATAATTTTTTTTTTACAAATTATTTTTTTAAGAGAGAGTTTTTATTTTTTCCTAATGTTGAATTTGGCTAAATTTTTGGAAATTTTCACTGAAAAAAAGAATTTGGTTTTGACAACAAAACGTTTGGTTGGTATTTAAGGAACCAAAATTTTTTTTTGTTTCAACAGATTTTTGATTGTATTAAAATTTAGTTCACAGAAAATTAAAAGGCATTAAAATAAGCTGCAACGCTTATTATTTTAATCCAATTTTGCTTATTTTAATCCATTTTGGTATTAAAATAAGCAAAATTGGATTAAAATAATAAGCGTTGCAGCTTATTTTAATGCCTTTTAATTTTCTGTGTTGACACAACCAAAATTAAAAAAAGGATTTTTGTTGTTTTAACTAAAGTTTCGTTGGGACAACAAAATATTTTGGATAATATAATGTATGATAAATATTTTTTTGTTGCAGCAAAAAAAATTTTGGTTATTCCACACTGAGAAAAAAGATTTGAGCTGACAACCAAATATTTCATTCAATATATGTGCAACTAAAATTTTTTGGTTGACACAACTAAACTTTAGTTGACAACAACTAAAGTTTGTTTCAGACGACTAAATAACAAAATGAAAAAGAATTTCGTAGTCTCAACCAAACTTTGGTTGATGTCAACTAAAGTTTAGTTGTGTCAACCAAAAAATTTTAGTTGCACATATATTAAATGAAATATTTGGTTGTCAGCTCAAACCTTTTTTCTCAGTGCAATCAAACTTTAGTTGGCACTACTAAACTTTGGTTAAAGCAACAAAATTCCTTTATTTTTCTTATTTGTTTGTATCAACAAAAATTTTATTGATTCAACAAACAATTTTGATTCCAAGTGTATTAACCAAAATATTTTGTTGTCAACTCAAACCTTTTTTTCTCAGTGTGATAGAAGTAAATTTTTTCAAAATGGAATTTTTATTTAACCAATTTTGCATTCAATAGAGTTTTTATTTAATTGGATTTTGCATTCAATAGAATTTCTGTATTTAATTGGATTTTTATTTTAGAGAATTTCCATTTAATCGAATTTTTATTTAGCAGAATTTCCATTTAATCAGATTTTTATTTAGCAAAATTTTTAATTTAATCTTATTTCTTTAAATTTCCATTTGTTTGAAATTTAGCCGAATTTCCATACGTGAAATTTTTTTTATATTGCAAATTTAGTCATTTAACTTCCATCTTTTGGTATTTTAGATACAGCAGACAAAAAAATTAAGGCTAATATTTTTTCTACAATGATTTAAATTTCTTGCACAAATTTTTGATACTTGCAAAATTGTAAACAAAATTCAGCTAAATGAAAAATTGAAAAATATAGAAATGAAATCGAAATTCAAACAGTAAATTTGGTTAATTAGAAATGTTTGTTGTATTGGAATTTGATTAAATATAAATTCTGTTAAATGAAAATTAATGAATTAAATTAAATTAAAATTTATTAATTAAATTAAATTAATAGAAAATTTAATAAACAGAATTTCGTTTAAAAAAATTGAAATTAGAAAAAATTGTTTAATTAAAATAAAAAGAAATAGGGATTTTGACAAATGGAAATTATGCTTAATAATTATTTGGTTAAATAGAAAGTCGATTAAATAAAAATTCTATTGCATATGAAAATTCAATTAAATTTAAGTTTAAATAAATGAAAATTTGCTTTAATATAGAAATTTAACGTTTAGGTGAATGGAACATTAGAAAATTACTAGAATCATCTCTCTAATAGAATGTATAGTGTTATAAAATATTGTAAAAATTCAGTTTCCGATTTTTAAATTTTCTAGTCTTGATTTTTAAGTTTCTTTTTCTAACAATTATTTTTCAAATTTCCTTTGAAAAATTTTTTATTTATTTATTTTTTTTTTAAGATTTAAATTTCAAGATTAGTGAAAATTTGAAGATGCGAATAAATGAGGAGGACTTTTATTTAATTTTGTAAAATATGAAAAATTATTTTTGATAGATAAATATATATATATTTACAAAATAAAATATTGTTCCTCGTATATTAATTTGTAAAGTATTGACAAATAATTATGGTTAATTAAATAAGTTTGTGTGAGAAAATGACGAGTGTGATTTCTATTTAAGATCACGAAATAACAAAAAAAAGAATTCAATTATTTAACTATGAATAATTTTGCTTATAATTTATAAATAAGCAAAAAGTCATTATTCAAGAAGTCAAAAGTAATTAGTTGTGTCGATTGTATGCGACTCACAAAATTACTGATTTATATCGTTGAGAAATTATTATACATATATATGCTATATATATATACTCAATTAAAAATAGTTTCAGTATGCTTGTTTTCGATTGAAAAAGATTATAACCTCAGTTTCTGAACAGGAAAGTGATGCAATCTATGCATTATACAATAAAAGTATAATTTATAACGAATCAATATTAATTAAAGCAACTTAAGATAAATGCATTTTTTTTATCTATATAGAAAAAAATGAAAATTAATGTTGGTTTTTTTATTTATATAAATATATTAAGAGTGTGTGAGATACTAATTAATTTATTAGTACGACTAAAGTTATATATATAGAAAAAAAACGTGCGAATGGGAATTTTTTATAATCAGCAGGGTATTTATATATAAATATTTGCTATATTTAAAAAAATTTATTTAAATATAAAAATCGAGTTTGAATGAATAATAAATTATTATTATTATCTAATTATATAATAGATTATATTAAACACATAAGTTGTGATTTGTGTGATACTCAGTATTTAAACTGGGATTTGTTGAATTTTCAACAATAGCGTGGAAATATGTTATAAATTTTTTTAATTTTCATCAATTTTTTTTTTTTTTTAGAAATTATATTATATAATAGTATAATAATAAATTTATTAATAAAATGAAAATAATTTATCAAATATTTATAATATAATATTATTAAAATAATAATACATTTTTTTAATACCATTTTCTAATAGTTATATATATTTTATATTTAATGAATTAACAAATTAATGCAAATTTCAAAGACTGATTTTTTTTATATTCTTTTTTCTTTTCTTATAATTAATTTTTTAATTTCTCACGCATATTTCCACGAAAATGTACTTAGATTGAATGTTAATTGCTCAATAATAATGAGGTGACATTTTTTAATTTAACAAAATAAAAAGTAAAAAAGTGTTTTGTAAATTTTGATATTACTTTTGTAATTATCAAAATAAACACACAAGAATGTTAAAAAGTGTGTTATATAAAAAATACAGCTGATTGGAAAAAGAAAAAATAATTTTCAAAAAAAAAAAAAAAATGATAAACGAAATTTTTAGATTCTACTGAATTAAAATACTAATTTTTAATTAATTGTACTTTCAATCAGCTGAATTTCTTATAGAAGAATATATTTTATAAAAAATATTTTCGTATGACAAAAAAAAATAGCTACATAATTGTAGCTTTTGTTCTTCTAGTTTTAAGAGTTTTTCTATTTTTCTTACGCTATTTTTGTAAATACTAGATATGCTTTTGAGATGAATTAAATGATTTATTTAATTGTCTTTTCATAAACCCCTTGTCTTTTTCCGTATCATAAAATCCTCTTTATTTCTAGAGGAATTTAATATTTAAATCGCGGAACGAAAATTGATTTTTGATTTTATCAAATTGAAAATTTTTTTTTTTTTTTTTTTTTTTTTTTTATTAATATTCTCATTTTATGAAAATATAAAAGATCTGGAGAATAAATTTTTGTTTTCAATGAATTGTAAATAAAGTGAAATTTTCTCAATGAGCTTTATATAGGTAATTCTTCTTATCTTGTTTCAAACATTGACTTAGATGCAAAGGCAGGATATAGGCAACTTCCTGTATGCAATGATTAAAAATGTCTCTCGTGATTATCCTCTATATAGGGAACCTGTTTTTACTCTCAGAGAGAATGAATTAATTCACATAATGGAACATTGAATATTCTAATAAGGATTAATCGATCGATAAAATATAATTCTTAAGAGTTTTTATAAAATATATATTTTTTTCATGAATGTGAGAAAATAAATTTAGTTTCGGTTATAAAAAAAAAAAATAAACTCGCCGCAGGAATATGCGAAAAAGTTAAAAGTTTTAATCTTTGAATTCAATTTCTTGCCTGCGGTGTGCATGAAAAATAAAAATTGAAATCTCATTTTAAGATGCGGTGCAAGGGATTGAAACAAGATCGAAGATCGATTTCAGATTGTACAACGTGTATTATAAAAGGGAAATGTGGAGCAATTGTGGTTTATAAATGTAATTATTAGAATAACTTTAACACCTTTGGATGTATTATATATCTTTCAATCGTTGGGCGACGATTCGATGTAATTTTTTTTTTTTATTTTCAAATCATTACAATCGTATTTTTATTTTCATATTAAGCTTCAGGCGAATTGCATATCTTCTTATCGATTCAAATTACTAGGTATTCGAGTTGATCGGTTCATTCAAATCGATGATATCAGCTTCTTTCGATAAAGTTCCATTCAATGACTATAGAAAAATTTTCATTTCGTCGTTTGACTAATAAAATTATTTTACATTGAAATTAGAAACCAATTTTCCTTCGATGAAAGAAAATTTTTATTTCTTCTGTAAGAAAAAAAAAAATTTTTTCTAGATTCAAAATAGATTTTAATAATATAAATTTATAATAAATATTAAAATTTTTTTTTTAGGAAAAATTAGAGAGTTATTTAATTATTATATTCTGTGATAATAAATTCAGATGCAAGTCGCGATTGCAAAGTAATTTTACAAATGAAATAAGAAGTTTTTCATCTTAATGCTTCCCAAGTTTGAAATTAGTTGACATGCTGGATACTAACTGATTTCCTGATATGATCTATCGCGCGCATATAAGAGAAGATGAAGCTCTCGTCCGATAATATAATCCTCATTTTTTTTGCATTTTTATTATTATTTTCGACTTGCACTTGCAATTAACAAAAAATGCGGATCTGTTGAGATTTTATCTGTTAAAATGCTTGTGCAGTGGTTCTCAAATATATTTTTTAAATGAAATTTTTTTTTCAATAATTGATTATTATAAATAGTTTATTGTTTATATTGTGTCTTACAATATATATATATATTTTTTTTAATACTTATTATTCTATAAGAATAAAAGCTACTTAACATGCCCGTATACACAAATATATATATACGTGTCTTACACACAATTATTTAAATTTTTATTTTATTATATATATTATATAGTAAAAAAAGTGTCCAAAAGTACAAAACTTGTCATACATACACTCCTCAGGAAAATATTTGTCCAGTCTTCCAAAAATCACGAGACGTCTACGTCTTCGTCAATATTTATATGATTCATCGGCTGTATTTTTTTGAATTGTTTTAATTAATTTTACCAAAAATATTTTTACTATAATTCATATAATTACAGTAAATAAAAAAGTAATTTTTTTTTAATGGAAAAAAAAATTGGAAAATAAAATAGAAAAAAAATTTTCATTCATCTCTTTGATAGATTTTGTACAGCTGACGATTCATATAATTTTATTGTGATAAATATATAGAAAAAATGTATTATATTTATAAAATATATTCTACAACATGCTGGCTTGGCAAGGAACGAGGATTAAACGTATTTTAAACGTTTGTACCACTTGTGAGAAAAACCTCGCATTCATTATTATAAACTAAGCGTAATCTTACGATCAACCAGGTATACAAGGAATATATATTGACAACTGGTTTTTTTTTTTTAAAAAGTACAATAAGTAACTATTTTCAAGTATATAAGGCAGTTGCATTATTTTTTTTTCTTCTAATCGTCATTCACTTTAGTTTGCATTTTCATATGTTCCAATTATGTATATAGAAAAACAAATTCTCGGATAAATTCTCGGATTTTATATACTATATAAATATAAAAAAAAAAAATTATGCAACAAAAATCGATTAAAAATTAATTATATCTATAGAAATTCGTGTGTTTTAAGCGCTAATGATAAAAATTATACAATTTTTTTTTTATATTTAATTATATATAATCGATGCTTACAAATTAAGGGATTGAAAAATTCGATTTTTATTTTTGGATAAAATTATTGCCAAGCCTTTGAATTCTTATGAAAATTCTCTTATATTCATATAAAGCTTGATCAGAGTCGTGGAAAAAATGAATAACAATTTTTTAAATTATTTTTTAAATAAATTTTTCCCCTCTAAACATGTTATTGACCATGAGGAAAAGTCGTTTTTTTTTTTATTTTTTCATTAAAAAAAAGAGGTAAAATTTACGAAAAAATATAGTCTCTTCCTCTCTTATGTTTTTTTTTTCGAATTAATTTTTACGAAAAATTGAAATTCCACATTATTAAATTCTAAATAAATTTTTTACAATTGACTTTTCAAAATTCATTTGATAAATTTCTTTTTTCTAAATCAATTTTTTCATCAACGAAATTAGATTAATTTTGCCAATATTTAAATTATATAAAATTTCTTAAAATTAGACAAAAATTACCATAGAAAAAATTTTTTTTTTTTACAGCAAAAATTTGATTTAAAATTTCTCTTTGGTTCAACCAAATATATATTTTCGTATATGGAATGAACAAAATTTTTTTTTTGAGATCACTGACCCTGACTGTGTTCTTTTCTTTTTAATCATTTGATTATTATGCTTCAAATTTCTAATTTACTAAATTGTGAAAATAATTTCTTTCGTTTTTATTAAAAGCGCAATTTTTTTTTCTTCTCGAGATGAAAAAAAAATAGTTTTCATTTTTTTTAAATCTAAAATTGTTTTCACAAGATCTTAGTAATATTATATGTATATGTTACAATTTTTTATATCAGTGATTATTTTTTTTTTTCGAAAATTTAACACATTTGAAAAAATATATATACAGATTGTGTTACATTCTATTGACAATATTCACTGATTATAAAAAGATTTATCATGTAGTCGTTGAACATATATATCATTATTGAAAAAAATATTTGATAATTAATTTTTTTTTTTGTTGAAATTTCAAAATTTCAAAATTTCTTCTTAAATCGAATTATTTTATCTACACGGAAAGAAAATAAATATTAAATTTTATAAAAGTATTTTTAAATTTTGAAATACTTATTTTTAATAATTATGAAATTTACTTGTTAAAATTTGGTAAAACGTATTTGACTTATTACTATAAATGATAATCAAATTTATTAAATGTATTAAGTTTATAAAAGCTTTTCTAAAGTTTAGAATTTCTTAAATACGAAAATTAAACTTTTTACATTCAGAAAAAAGATTCACAGAAAATTAAAAGGCATTAAAATAAGCTGCAACGCTTATTTTAATACCTTATAATTTTCTGTGTTCTTTATTTCAAAGAACATTTTTTTGAATCAAAGAAATTTGTGTAATATTATAGGGTTAGAGAAAATTTTTTTTGATTTAAATAAATTATTTCTTTACTTGTTTTTTGTTGCCTCAAATAAATATTTCTTTGATTTTACGAAAAATATAATTTAAAGAAAAAATTTCTATGATTCAAAATATCACAGAAAATTAAAAGGCATTAAAATAAGCTGCAACGCTTTTTATTTTAATCCAATTTTGCTTATTTTAATACCAAAATGGATTAAATTAAGCAAAATTGGATTAAAATAATAAGCGTTGCAGCTTATTTCAAAGCCTTTTAATTTTCTGTGTACTTGAAAATTTTTTTCAACGAAAACTTTTTTTAATTCAAACAAATTTCATCTTTGATTCAAAAAGTGATTTATTGTTTAAAAGAAATCTTTATAGCATATTTTCCCTTGACGAAAATACTCACAGAAAATTAAAAGGCATTAAAATAAGCTGCAACGCTTCTTATTTTAATCCAATTTTGCTTATTTTAATACCAAAATGGATTAAAATGAGCAAAATTGGATTAAAATAAGAAGCGTTGCAGCTTATTTTAATGCCTTTTAATTTTCTGTGCTTTTATAAAATTTGATATTTAGTTTCATTTCGTGTACGATGATAAAAGTGATTAAAAGAATAGAATCAATAATCGAAGATAAATTTAAGGCAAAAGTTGATGATAATAAATAGGTTTGCGACTTTTTTCCATAACATAAAATGCCTTGGGTTTTCCATTGCCGGGGAAATTTTTGTGGATGCTGGTTGAGCCAGATTTATTAGGATTCAAAGGAGCGTAATATGACATGGCCGCCTTCTTCCGGTGTTTCTTCGGCTTCTGTTCGTCGGCGGTGTTCCTCGAACCATGAAGTTCATTGGACAGATTGTTATTGTTGTTATTGTTGTTGCTCCAAGCTGAGAAACGATCATTCGCATGGTGTACTCCCACTCGATATGTTGCCGAGTCGGCCAATCTAAACATCTTATTGGTGCTATTCTTTGTTTTATAACTCTGCTGTTGTTCCGCTTCCTTGATTTTCTTCGATCCCACCTCAAGACTTATTGGATAACTTAATCTCTTGTCATTATTCCTACTGTGTTTTTGCAGTAGATTATTCATTGACGATGATGATGGCTTCGATCCGTACATTAATCTATTATCAGTCGATGAATGAAAATATTTACCGTTATTAAAATATTTCATATGATCATGTTTTCTATCGATAATATCATTGACACTTGTGTGAACATTGCTGATTGCTTGTATTGCATTTATATCATTGCCATTGATCTTAATTATTTCGCTGTCGCTTTTTGTTTTATCATTTTCCATTTGGATTTTCTTCTTTAATTGTTCCATTTTAATTTGCGCTTGATAGCGTTTCTTTTCGGCGATTTTCATCATTAACGGTAAATTCCAATGATAAATTTTCCCCGGCTTACCATTACTGTGAAAACCAACTGAATTGGCAAGGGTATTTTGTTGTTTTTGACTCTTATTGTCATTCTTGTGTGGTTTCGTAAAGGTGTAATAAGGTGGACTCGCTGGTAGTTTAACGATGTAAACGTGACTGTCACGATGTCCGTGACGTCGACTGTAAGGTTGGTGGATACGAGACTGTGCACCAAATGTGGATGATGGTGGCTCAGGGCCGGCTAACCTCTTCTTGTGATGACCATCTGGAATTTCCAGCGGTACAAGACCCAGTCGATTTAATATGGCGGCATTACTATTGCGAACCGTCTTGAAGACGGATGAGTCCTCGTTACCGGAAACAACAGCGATTCCGCTGATCAACGTGATTCCCAGAAGGAGGCACAACCTGAAATACAAACAAGGACACACAATTCATCAGATATTGTTATATAGGAGTTTATCATCAAGGCAAAATAATGTGTCATTAAAATTAATTAACGTATTGTCACGATTATTAAGAGACATGGAAATTTTATTTTTATATACACTGTCGGAAAAAAATAATTAGGGTTATGTCATTATTTGGTTTATACTTTGGTAAATTGTTGTCCTATCAGAAAACAGTTTTTGTTTAAACCAAAGCAACAGTTGCTAAGGATTTTTTCGCCTGTTTCTCTCTAAATTTTTCGAACGAAGAAAGAATTTTATTGCACCAAATAAACATTTGGTTGATTCAACCAAAAGTTTGGTTAATTTCTTCTAAAACCCATTTTTTTTTCAAAAACTAGCACAGAAAATTAAAAGGCATTAAAATAAGCTGCAACGATTATTATTTTAATCCAATTTTGCTTATTTTAATACCAAAATGGATTAAAATAAGCAAAATTGGATTAAAATAAGAAGCGTTGCAGCTTATTTTAATGCCTTTTAATTTTCTGTGAGTCTTATTTTTTAGTTTTAACTTCTAAAATTAAAATGAAAGAAATAATATTACAAATGTAAATAATTTTATAAAATAATTTTTTCATTGGTATTAATTTTGAACAATTAATCTTTGGAAAATTTTTATCAACTCAAAACGATTAATATCACAATGTTGATTGTTCACGTCTCTCTAGAATGATGTTCTTAGAACCAATCGATGATAAATCATTATGAGAAAAACTGTCTTCCCTTTAATGATTTATAACTTTGTAGGATATTATTTATTTTAGTTAAAGAATTAACTAATTATGTATCGTAAGAATTTTTTTCTATATATATATATATAAAAGGATATTTTAAAACTTTATTTTTTAATGGGTAATAAAGTATTATGCTCTAAAAAATTGTTCTTCTTAGCTGCAGTTTTATGAGAGTTACGAAGCAAACGATGCCTCTTTGTATTGTTAAAAAAAAATTGAAACCTACACCGTGACATAATGCTGTATATATATATATATATAGATAGAGGTGTATGTATTTACCAGTCTGTAAAATTATCTCATAATCCATGGTAGAAAATAAGCTGTAATTAGCATCTGGTTTTGTATAAGTCTGAATATACGCATTTCCAAAGTATACTCCACTTTCAGCACAAGGGATCTTTCAATGATTTATTACTCAAGATACTGCTTACTTTATAACTTTATTACTTTCGCCTTTTTTTTTGGCAAGTTTTTGATTTCATCGTTTTTGAAATTTATAAATTAAATCTCAAAATAAGATACTAATTTTATTTTGCAATTTTTTTTAATCTCCCCTTTAGTTATCAATTGTTTCTAAAATTTACAAGAATTAAAAAAAATCCCGGCTGACTTAAACTGACTTTTATTACTTATATTAAAATACTGTTTATTAATTTATTGTCTGACTAAACCGGTCTTTTACTACTGAAATCAAAATTTAAAAAAAAACATAACGTTTTGTCTGACTAAACTGCCTTGCACTACTGATAATATTATTATAATAATTTAACTTTTTGTCCTACTGAAACTTACATTTACTACTGAGATACAAAATAATAGAAAAGTAAATTTTGTCTGACTGAAACTGCCTTCTACTACTGATATTAAATTTACGAAAATTAAAAATGCATTTTATGACTAAAACTGACTTTTACTACTGATATGAAAAATTATAAAAATGTAAAACGGTATGTCTGATTTAATCTTTTATAGAATAATAAAAGAAATTATAAAAACATGACAATAATATATAATAATAATAATAAATAATATAAAAATAATATTCTTAAAATAATAAATAATTTAAAGTCTATTTTTGAGAATAAGATTCAAACCCATTAAAACAGAATTTAATCAACTGCAATTCAGAAATAACACGTTAACTTCATGTCCTTCATAATTCAACACTTTACAGAAATTCTTATAAATCAATTATAATAATGAATTTCCAAGAATTTAATTATGTCAAAAGACTCTCTCTTAAATCGAAACCTAAATTATATTCTCAGTGTATATAAAGTCTGCCTGTTCTTTAATTTTCATTGACATTCTCTACCCTGGGGTTGCAAGGGGATTTTTTTTTTTTTTTTTTTAATAATAAGTACATACACTTGTCCGATCAAGGTACATGTATGATTGATGGTTGTTGGTTATAACCAGAGAGAGGGAGGGAGAGAAGAAAAACGAAAAGTGCCAAACAAAAATAAGGTGCCGAAGGGTATATGCCACTTGTTTCTTTCCTTTTTTCTCTTTCCACGTCTCTTTGTACTTATATGTATATATAGGTACACTGATGCTTGCGGACAAGATGACGGCAAAGTCACCATAGGTACATACATATAAAGAAGGGAAGGAATAATTTTCAAAAGGGACGACTGGCATATTAATTTATGGCATCGCGTGATGGACGTTGTAGTACGCGAAAAACATTAGCGCAGAAGCATCCTCTATATAGAGAATAAACGAATATTTAATTATTCTGTCATTTATACCGCTGTATATTCTATTCTTGGTATATATATATATGTACACACCAATTGCCTTGTATTCTTCTAATCTATTTCCTAGTAAAATTGTTTCTGAATTTAAAAAAAAATTTTTTCTGTTAAAAAAATATCGATCAAAAAAAGTAAAAATTATAATTTTTACTTTTTTTTCACGAATAAATTCGCACAGAAAAAACCTGAACTCAAAATGATAGCGTATGCTACTCATTTTAATATGCAGGAAAAATGAGTCAGGTTGGTGGCGCCACTGTCTATGTCGTTTAGCATTGACTCATTTTTGCTGCATCCCAGGTGGAAAAGTTACCGGTAGTCATTACCGATCCCGCTACCGGAATATTCACTACCGGTAGTCACAACCGGTAATTCTTCCGGTACTACCGGTAGTTACTACCGGTAATTTTTCCGGTACTACCGGTAGTTACTACCGGTAATTTTTCCGGTACTACCGGTAGTCACTACCGGTATATTTTTCGTTACTAACGGTAGTCACTATCGGTAATTTTTCCGGGACTACTGGTAGCCCAGGTGGAAAAGTTCCCGGTAGTCATTACCGCTCCCGCTACCGGAATATTCACTACCGGTAGTCACTACCGGTAATTTTTTTTTTACTACCGGTAGTCACTATCGGTAATTTTTTCCGGGACTACCGGTAGTAAAAAAAATTACCGGTAGTGACTACCGGTGGTACCGGAAAAATTACAGGTAGTAGTAACTACCGGTAGTACCGGAAGAATTACCGGTAGTGACTACCGGTAGTCCCGGAAAAATTACCGGTAGTGGCTACCGGTAGTCTAGGTAAAATTACCGGTAGTGACTACCGGTAGTGAATATTCCGGTAGTCACTACCGGGCACTTTTCCACCTGGGAGTCGCTACCAGTAGTCATTACCGGTAATTTTTCCGGGAGTTACAATCAAAATTCGTTATTTGGTAATAAATTTTGATTGTAATTCCAGGAAAAATTACCGGTAATGACTACCGGTAGTCCCGGAAAAATTACCGATAGTGACTACCGGTAGTAACGAAAAAATTACCGGTAGTGGCTACCGGTAGTCCCGGAAAAATTACCGATACTGACTACCGGTAGTAACGAAAAAATTACCGGTAGTGACTACCGGTAGTACCGGAAAAATTACCGGTAGTAACTACCGGTAGTACCGGAAGTATTACCGGTAGTGACTACCGGTAGTCCCTGAAAAATTACCGCTAGTGGCTACCGGTAGTCCCGGAAAAATTACCGATACTGAGTACCGGTAGTAATAAAAAAATTACCGGTAGTAACTACCGGTAGTACCGGAAGGATTACCGGTAGTGACTACCGGTAGTCCCAGAAATCTAGGAAAAATTACCGGTCGTGACTACCGGTAGTGAATATTCCGGTAGCGGGAGCGGTAATGACTACCGGTAGTGACTACCGGGAACTTTTCTACCTTGGGATATCAAAATGAGACTAAGTTTTTTCTTTGCCTTTAAGTTATTTATACACTGAGAAAAATGTTTAATCAGAGTTACCAATATTTGGTTGGACCAAAAAAAAAATATTTTGTTGGTATATTTAAGTTACCAAATTATTTTGTTGTAACCAAATTTTGGTTGAAATTTAAAAATATTCAACCAAATAATTTTGTTGGCCTATAACCAAACGTTTGGTTGAGATACAACTTTGTTTCAGCCAACCAAAATTTTGGTTACAGGAACTAAAATTGCTTAAACAAACGATTTTGTTGCAAACCTAAATTTTCTTTCTCAACTTATATAGAAAATATAAAGTCTAAAAATAAAAATTCTTAAAAAAAAATAAAAATATCGTTTGGAAATAAAAAAAAAAAAATCTCACAATAGTGATCCATTAAAATAAAATAGAAAGAGGTAAAATAAAATACAGTGAACAGATGAAACGTGGGTGAAACTCGGATATATAGATCATCATTTATTGCTCAATTATTTCTGTCGACGATATAATTATTGTATAGTTACCGGTTTTCAGTATAAGCGCACATGTTTCCAGTCTGGAAATATCGATACATTCAATTTTCATCTTAACCTTTTATAAACGCAGTGAAATTAATAACAGTATAAATGTTTATTTAAAACTGTACAATCATATCAAAAGTACCGTAATACGACATGTTCAATTAAAACAGATAATAACAAATAATAATTGAATGGATTCTGGTTAATTGAAAAAAAATAAAATTTAATTATTTGCATTTAAATTTGCTCACTTGAAAAATGAGTAAACATATCAATTTAAATAATTATAATTATAATTATAAATTAATAATTGAATAACTATTATAATTAATACGTAATTATAAATATAAAATAATAATTTTATAAAATAAATTATAAATATTAATTATTCATTTAATCAGATTATTTTCCCAATAATTGACAGCAATAAGAAATTTATTTTTGCACACACGGAATAAATTTGAATCATTTTAAAGAGAG